TAATAATGTTTTTTTTGAATATGGATTCAAATAATCAGGTTGTATGTCAAACTTGTCGAAAGGCATTAATGTGTGCATCACGAGTGTTACCAAATTACTAATAAACATTATTCAAAATTGTTATATGATGTATTTATTTTTAGTGAACTTCTAAATTTGTACAGTAGCAAATAAGTTTTACTTCAATTGCGTGTGATCCTTACGCGCACTCTTTTTTATGATTTTTACTTCAACATTAAAATTATTATACAAACCGGCTTTTTAAACAATTTTTCGAATACCGTCCCGAAAGGGTTTAAGAATGATATAGTAAGATCGAATAGATGTTTAGCTTACTAGCTTCAACATCGAATACACAAAACGATTAGTGGTGTATGGCATCGTGCCTTAAGGCAAAATGCTCGAACTTCCGGTAGCATAATAAAATATTTGAAGAAAATTAAATGTTTTCAAATAGATTATTATAAATCAGTCTTCGTTCAGACTTCGAACGATTCACATCGCTCAGCCGATACCATTCATTTACATAACAAGTAAAAGTGTAAGCAATAGTGTTTTTACCTGTATCAGTACCTGCGACAGTGCCCGCATTGCGTAGTTTATACCGACAATCACGTGTCCCCATTGCGGGGAACATGGCGTTGTTTATAAACACAGTGACATTTATAATTATTATTTTCATCGTGTCAAATAAGTGTCATTCAACAAGTTAATTTTTCGAAGCCTTAAATCATGAATAATATTTCAGAAAATTTTATCACTGAATCACAACAAATTCTACAAGATGATTCTACAACTAACGCAGAATTTGTCGAAACGCATATTCTACCACAAATAAATCAACCGCGAACTTTCTCGCAAACGTCAGAACATATCGAAATGCTTCCAAGTGACAATAATTCGCAATCGCACCAATTATTCCTGTTCCAGCTATTAAAGAAGTAAACAACACATGGGCCAGGACAGGATAAAGTCAACTTGTTTGCCAACTTTTTCGAACAAATTTTTCACCCTCTGCCACAGCAATGCAGCACCCAGAAAGAAGAGTTTATTCACAATAATCTAAAATATTCTTCAACATACGGCGACCATTTAGACACCCGCTTTCCTCTTTCTGTAGTAGAACTTGAAATAACAAAGTCAAAATCAGGCAAAGTCCCTGGGCATGATCAAATCACGATACATATGCTGAAGCAACTCCCACAAAAAGCCTTGAGATGTCTAACCATTCTGTTCAACTCCATTATCAGACTAAAAGTATTTCCGTGTTCCTGGAAAATTGCAAAAATAATTCTAATACCAAAACCTGGCAAAGATCCCACTCTGATGGAATCCTACAGGCCAATTAGCTTACTGCTCATCTTGTCTAGAATTTTTGAAAAATTACTGCTTAAGAAGATCCATGCAATTTTGAGTAACAAGAACACAATTCAATCAATCAATCAATCAATTTGGCTTTTGGAAACTCCTCTCAACAATCGAACAAACTCACAGAGTAGTCCAGGAAATCAACTCATCTTTACAAGAAAAAAAATTGCTCAGCCGCATTTCTAGATGTCTCACGGGCTTTTGATAAGGTGTGGCACACCGGTCTTCTCTACAAGATAAAAACAAACCTTCCAGCTAATTTATACCAACTACTTTTGGGCGTTTTGGGTCCCACATTATTTTTATTATTTACCTCAGACATGCCTACCACAGCTGACACCAACATCGCCATTTTTGCAGATGATATCTGCATTCTATCGAAACACGAATGCCCTACAGCTGCGTCTAATGCCCTGCAACAGCATTTAATTTTAGTACAAATGTGGCACAAATTTTGGCGACTTGAAATTAACAATCGGAAATCATCACACATCACCTTCGCGTTAAGAATGGAAACATGTCCGCCCGTCTCAATCAATAAGGTTCAACTACCTCAGCTTGAACATGTAAAATACCTGGGGTTTCATTTGGACAGAAGGCTTACGTGGAAAAATCATATAATGAAAAAACGTTTCCAGCTTGAAGAGAATTTCAAAAAACTTTACTGGCTGTTGGGTCCGAAGTCTAAACTATCCACAACAAGCTTCTTGTATACAAAGTCGTCCTAAAACCAATCTGGACTTACGGCCTTTCTCTCTGGGGTAGTGCCAGTCGATCTAATATAAACATCTTACAGAGTATGGTCTTCCAGGTATGTACCTAATTGGCTTATTCAACAGGACTGCAACATACAAACAATAGCGGAAGAAATTAGTACATTTTCTGCGAAATATAAGTCAAGATTGGAGAAGCATCCAAATGAACTAGCAAAGGACCTACTTTCTGCGAACACTGTCAAGAGACTAAGAAGATTAGTTTCATTAGACTTAGTATAGTTATATATTTATTTAGTGCTTGTAATTTTTCTCACATACTTATATTTATTATCTGCTTGCAATTATTGTCACACATTTACATGTATTATACCAACTTGAAATACTGCCAATGGGTAGTATTTTGAAAACTTATTTAATAACTAATCACAACAATTACTGAATGCCTTCTCAGGCAGTTGTAGTTGAGATGAAAATAAATTAAAAAAAAGATTATTATAAATACTGTAACTTATATACGTTTAAATCAAATTTAAAATGAAGGGCATTGTCTACTAAGAATTATATAAACTGGATAGCAGTTGAGCATATTAATGAGCTTTAGAACTTAAGCCAGAGTTAAAATTAAAATCCGAATTATTTTCGATATTAAAAAAAAAGAAAATTCGGATTTTTTTCTGGTGGCTCACGAATCACGTCCTCCACTTCGCGCGCGTGCTTCTTTTTCAGGGGCGACTACATAATTTTTTTTGTGTTTTCGTTGGATATCGATGCAATTTCGAACTGTGCTTCTACTTGCGCAAACCATAGATCCGGGCTATTGTTCCAGAACGGTGGTATTTTTACTGCAACTCGGTTAATTGTGTCGTTTGAGGATACATGAATTGAGGCAGATTCAGATGTGGAACTCTTCGTATCTTCGAAGGCGTTTTGTCAGTATTCTTAACTGATTTTTTCATGACGGCCAGATTATAAGATCACGTCGGGGTCATCAATTATGTGGGTATCATCCACATATATTTCTATTTAAATAACTCGAATATTATTTATTATACTAATTTAATAATACGATATTACTTAATATGTTAGATATATTTACATCGAAATTATAATTTATTATTTTCTTCTTCTGACTGGGTAGTGTTTGTGGTGCCAGGTCAGTAATTGTTGACTCCTTGAATGTTTGAGGCGAAATCGACTTAGCCTGTATTGCGTGTGCGTTAAATACCCTCAGCGGTAAGGAGTGGGGATGTCTGGGTATATTGATAGTGGCATCTGGTGTAACGTAGGCGGATCCCATAAGGGGGGACACCATTCAAGTTGAGTCATAACTGGTGACGCCATCAGTTGTCAAACCTCTTATATAGATGGTTCCCACACATACAAACACAACGCCCACACGTACACACACCCATCACACGTCTATTTTTTCTAAGGTGTGCCCAAATGTTCAAAAACCTGTAAAACGTAAAGATATGCAAAAATTTTGACTCTACGGAAAGTTATAAATAATAAAGTTGGAAATATTTGGTTCATCAATAAAGTCAGTTTCCTTAATCTGTTGTTTCAGCAGGTCCGACGATATGTGGTCTATCATTGCTCCCTCGACTGCACTTCTAAATACTCGTATGCACGGTCACTTGTCGTCACCGTTCACTTTCTGTCGTGTCGTGTTTAAAGATTAATTACCAAATATTGATATATTGATAGTTCATTAGAGTTATAAAGAACGCTAAAGAAAACATCGCAATCCTAATTTAAAATCGGCTCACAAGCTTTTAGTAATATGTAACAAATATTTTGTCGGACAAAACTTTGAACGGGCCCTTGTAGGAATTATGCAACAGTCTTTTGGGGCCGTCGTTTCGAAGGCAGACACATTTCGTGTTTGACATTTCCTAGAAGATAAAAATTGATTTCTTCACATGGCTCGCAACGGTCACAGATCCAAATATCTCCATCTAGTTTCGAAGATTATTTAAAACAAAGGCCTCGCATTGTTCCAGGTGACTGTCTCACCATACTACACCTCAACATCTGTCGCATCGTACTATACCTCAACATCGGCGAAACGTAAGTTCAACAATCAGTACTATAGCATATTATTGCAACCTTCAGCTGTGTATAAAATTGTTTGACGAAAATCCGGTTGAGCAGTTTGAATTCTTATTTCTGACTCAAAATCCAATTTGAGAAAAATGCTCCTACCACTGCTTTTTCGTCTTCTATTATGATTGCTCCAGATGAAGAAGCAAAACGTTCCACGTATGTTGGTAATAATGAAATAATTTTAATAATGACATGATCAGCATGGCGATATCCTTCTCTTCTATAGGAATCTGATTGTAAGCTTTTCCTAGATCTATTGGTAAAATTTCTTCTACGACCTTTTCCATATTCTCTATTTCTCAAAATTTGGTCTCCATTTCTCTCCTTACTTCAAATCTATTTTTTCACAAATTTTCCGAATGCCGTCTCGTGAATCTGCTCAAATAGCATCAAAATCACATATTTGGAAACTCGGCCAAGGCATACGCCATCAAAATATTGAGTCTTGAACAACCACTTTTAGTAATATAAATTACTAGTCAACATTATACAACCGCCATCAATGAATTGAAATCTAAGAATTCAGTGAAATACGTATTTAGGTTAGTATGTGACAGCAAATTGAACTGAGTTATTCAGCTGTAATGATATATTTGTTAATTTGAGCACAATTTGAACATTGTAATAGAGGTTTAAATATTTAATACTGAATATATAGACATTAAAAAAATATTTTCGATTTATTTTGATTTGAAGTTAAGTTTTTCAATGCATTAGATCATAATCTTGAAATTATCAAATAGAAACATGAAATGGCAATCATTGTAAAATTATTAAAAATTTATATTGAGAAAAAAAGACAGAAAATACCTTTTCATTATATTGCACCTTCTGTCCAGATTGTAGCAATTCTGGGGCAACATACAGAGCGGTTCCAACTTGTCCAGTTAGAGAAATATTGGTATTTGAAGTAACATCTGCAAAATCACAGATTGATATAAATAGTAACTAGTTGGTTTGGTATTTAGCCTTGAGGCAAGTCACATGAACTTCCCGATATATTTAAATAATCGACTTAATCAATAAAAAATAAATTAATTTATGAGTCATTAAAAGTATTCCGAGTGGATTTATTACGCATAATTGAAAACGAACGAACACTTCGACTCGGAGTATTTTCTAAAAGCAAATTTTCAAAAATCAATCATTTTTATAATTGAACCATTTTTCGTGGGATTTTAATGATTTAGTATGTTCAAGACCAAGTAATCTATCATTATACCAAGTAAATAGTCTAATTTTAATTTTAACAAATGTCAAAAGAACTACTCATTTTCTCAAACTTTGATGAATTTTTAAAATCAAACTATTTGTCGTAAGGCCGTAATATTTCAGTAAGTTCTATAAGACCATGGTATATATCGCTAAAAAAAATTCCATAAAAATCGTCTTAAATTTTTTTTCAGCAGTTAATTACAAGAAAACGGCTCGGTAGATGTTCACCTAAAACTAATCAGTATCATTCCCAACTAATATCTTTCGAACAGTTTTTGATTTTTTAAAATCGGTTCGATAGGATGAGCTTAAATGTGGACAAAAAGTTTAACACTTTTTTTCAAATTACAAAGAAACGGCTTGGCAGATCGTCGCACAAAACTGACAAACGATAGTCCTCACCGAAATACATCAAATGGCTTTTAAATTTTTGAAATCGGTTCAGGCGCTTTTAAGAAAACGTCGATCAAAAGTCTAATTTTGACAAATGTCAAAAAAACTACCAATTTTTGCAAACTTTGACGAATTTTAAAGCTAAACGAGTTGTCGTAGGGCCGTAATATTTTAGAATGACCTAGAAAACTATGGTATCTACCGCCAAAAAAAAATCATAAAAATCGTCGAATTTTTTTTTAAAAAAACGTTATTACAAGAAAACGGCCCGGCCGATCTTTACCAAAAACTAATCAGCACGATTCCCAACCAATATCTATCGAATGGTTTTTGAATTTTCAGAATCGATTCAGAATTGCGGGCTAAAACGTGGACAAAATTTTTTTCACTTTTCTGCAATTTTCAAAGAAACGGCCCGGCCGATCGGCGCACAAAGATAGTCCTCATCGAGATACATCAAATGGCTTTTAAATTTTTGAAATCGGTCCAGCCGTTTTGGAGAAAACGTCGATTTACGGCAAAAAATCTGTTCACACACAAACACACACACACATACATACACACATACTTTTTCCAAATTTGGTCTCATTCGATTCAGAATGGCTCGAAACGTCGAGAAAACATAAAATTAGCGAATCGGATTTTTTTATGAAAACATAAACTTCTCCTTCGGGAAGTTAATAAATATGAAATAAAAATACTGAAAAATGTGTGTTGTTTTATATTGTATTTCGTACAATATTTTGCACTTATATGCTCATTGTAAAGAAATGACTCGGCGATCGCTGAACATAACAAATCTATGCGAGATCCAGACGAGTTTCATCAAATAGCTTTTGCAACCATCGCATTAATGTTATCAAGTAAAACTAGTTTGTATTGGTATTTTGCCTTGAGGCAAGTTACATGAACTTTACGATATATGTACATAATCGACTTAATCAATAAAAAATGAATTAATTTATGAGTGATCAAAGTATTCCGAGTGAATTTATTACACATTATTGAAAACGGACGGACATGTAAACTCGGAGTATTTTCTAAAAGCAAATTTTCAAAAATCAATAATTTTCATAATCGAATTAGATTCCTCGAATTAGATTCCGTAAGACTTTTATGGTTCAGTATGTTCATTAAATCCAAGTACTCTATCGTTATATCAAGTAAATCGTCTAATTTTAATTTTAACAAACGTCAAAATAACTACTCATTTTCTCAAACTTTGATGCATTTTTAAAATTAAACTACTTGTCGTAAGGCCGTAATATTTCAGTAAGTTCCATAAGACCATGATATATATCGCCAAACAAAGTTCCATAAAGATCGGCCTAATTTTTTTTAACAGTTAATTACAAAAAAACGGCTCGGTAGATTTTCACCTGAAACTAATCAGTATCATTCCCTAATATTTGTGTAATATCTTTCGATCAGTTTTTGATTTTTTTAAATCAATTCGGTAGTATAAGCTTAAATGTGGACAAATAGTTTAACACTTTTTTCCAAACGGCTCGGCCGATCGTCGCACAAAACTGAGAAACGATAATCCTCGTCGAGATACATCAAATGGCTTTTAAATTTTTGAAATCGGTCCAGCGTTTTTGAGAAAACGTCGATTTAAGGCAAAAAATCTGTTCACACACACGCACACACACATACTTTTTCCAAATTTGGTCGCATTTGATTCAGAATGGCTTAAAACGTCGAGAAAATATAAAATTAGCGAATCAGATTGTTTGATGAAAGCATAAATTTATCCTTCGGTAAGTTCATAAAATAATGAAACATTAAAATCACTTCGTTATAAAATTATATGTTCAACATGCATATGCATTGCTTGCATAATAGTTTGTGAGATATGAGTCGGTCAAATAGTTTCAGTTCACGAAGGCGTTGAATGTACATAAATGTTGAAGACATGGAAGTATCATCATTATCAATAAGCGACTAGTATTCAAGTTTGTTGTTACCTGCCAGCAGGAAGATAAATAAATAACAAGGCAAACCTGTTTGATACGAGATAAATAACAGCTTTGACAACTTTTACCAAATTACATTACTTTTTATGTGATATAAATTGGCATTCACTTGTTGCATCAATCTACACCACACTCATCGAATGATTCACTAATGTAAAAAAATTTTTAGATAAAAACTTAAAACGAAATGTACGTATGTTGAAAGATATAACGTATTAATTTACTTTCAATATAAAGTCCACGTATGTTTTTTTAGTATAGAACGAAATAATATATTTAAAAATTTAAACGTCTCACTTTTAATGTAATACTCAGTATTCAAATATTTTTTAAAGATAGAAATATATAATAAAATAGTAATATTTTTTCGAAAGAAATATATAATAAAATCGCTAATGGAATAAAAATTGTGTATATACTTAGGTATATAAGAATTAAAATATTTTTAGTATGACCTCATTAACAAATACAATTTTAATCTACAAATACAATTAATTTTCGAATCCCGCTTTTTTCATAGAGTAGAAAGGGCATTTTCTAATCTAAGCTAAATTTAATTATTTCTCTTACTCCATAATATTAACTTCCTGAAGAAGAAGTTTACGTTTTCATAAAAAAATCCGATTCGCCAATTTTATGTTTTCTCGGCGTTTCAAGCCATTCTGAATCGAATGAGACCAAATTTGGAAAAAGTATATGTGTGTGTGTGCATGTATGTAAAAAGATTTTTTGCCGTAAATCGTCGTTTTCTCAAAAACGACTGGACCGATTTCAAAAATTTGAAAGCCATTCGATGTATAAAGATGAGGACTATTGTTTCTCAGTATTATGCGACGATCAGACAAGACGTTTCTTTATAAATTTGTTGATGTTAGATACCATAATCTTATAGATCATTGTTCGCGCCAAATCGAAGTGCGATTATATTGATATAAACAAAAAAGCAATCAATCCAAAATCATATAAAAAATCAATCATTACGATATTGAAGCAACAACAAAAAAAATTGGTCCGGATGAGCCGGAATTTGACATCCAGTAAAATCTAATACAAGAAAAATTGGTCCAGACAAGCCGGATTTGACGTCTAGTAATCGAATCGAAGAAAATCGAATACATCAAATTGGAAATCAAGCAAAACAAGCATAAACCAAATAAATCAAGATCAAATAAAAAGGAAGTTCAAAATCAAGATAGGAAGTTAAAATTTGGAGCTACAGCTACAAGCACATCAAAGCAAGAAACAAGGTTATTCAACTACATTTCCTTCTTATCAATCTTTCCTTATTTAATTAATAGACTTTAGTACAATCTGTGACAAGATGGAATCGTTAAAAACTTTAAAATCACTCAGAACGAAACAACTACAAAATAAATCGCAATTAGCATATTGCGAAAAGATTTGCAATCAATTGAATATTTCTGAAATAAGCCGTTTAATCAAATATGTAAGACCCATTTTTGACTTATTTGATGCGGTTATCAAAATAGGAACTTTACTTATGCCAAAGAGGAAATTGATAATTTATTTGATCACGAATTAGAAGAGTTTTTTGATAAATACCACAAATGCTTGACAACATTATCAAAGCTTAGTCTAGCAGATACTAGTTCGGAATTCAATTTAAATTATACCAAAACAACAAAAAATGCAGATAACAACATAACAACATAAAACAGCCTCAATTTTATTTACCTCAAATAAACATTTCTAAATCAATTTCGGTATCAAATCATGAATCTAACTTAGAAGATCAAGTAGATATATCTTCTGAAATACTCGAACCATACGACAATAAGCAATACTTTACAAAAACGGAAAAACAACGCGAAGAGCATTTATAACTAATACAACTAAGACTATTGACGGAAGTTTTGGTACTATAATTTAATTTGCAAAAAATATCAAAGACATAGAACATAGTAGACAAGTAACGCTAAAACGTCATATTCAACTTGCAAACAAAATCCAATTCACGGAATATGATAACTTCATAAACGCAAGCATACCTAAAATACGTTTCCATTTACCTCATCAAGGCATGTTAAAGTCAATCAATTTAACAACAAATTTTCGCGTGAGTTTGGAAGCACCGTGTAAATCCGATACAAGTCTGCTGTTGACTGAGCTACAACTTGTTAGACCGAATATCCGAAACAAAATCTGTTTCACTATATCAAATTTTAAAATGCATACTTCAGTTCTTACGGTCGATATAAAGAGAGCGATCAAACAAGTTTTAGTTCAGATAAACGACAGAAAGATGCACCGAACAATTCGGAAAAAAACTTCCAATAACAAAATAGACATCAAACAACAACATACGTTCTTAT